CGTCGGTGCTCAAAAGTGAGGTTAATTTGAACAAAAACAAAAAAAAATCTTATCAAAACACCCACTATTTTCATATTTATTGGTACATATGTATGCATGTATCAATTTTTTCACATTTCTCACATTATGGAAGAGCTTTGCTAGGCGCTCCCGCTATTTTTAGCGTGATGGGCGTACGCGTATACAGATACATACATATGTATGTCTGTATGTTTTGTTTTTATCGTACTTTTACACGTTATCAGCTGTGCAAAAGTAGAGTTATAAGCAAAACAAACTTATGGTAATATACACATATGTATATATGCACATTTGTATATACTTATGTAAGTTTGTATGTGCATATAGATGTAAATAAAAAGTGTTAAAATAGTCAGAATTGCATATAGAGTTATTCACAAAAATATATAAAATATAGGGAGGGAAGCCATAAATACTTGTGGCACATACATAAATATATATGTATATATAATATAATATAAATACAGTTAAGAGTGTAAATATAAATTTGCAAAGACAAAACCACTATAGAAATGTTGATAAACTATATATAAATATGTATTTAAAAAAAATATAAATATAAACAGAGTGTGTGTACCGTGTACCTTCACACACACACGCACACACATACACGCTCGACGCATTTGATAATGAAAAAAAAAGCAGAGAAAACATTAAAGAAAATCAGACAAAGGGGAGCTATGACTAATCGACGCCACAAACAACGTGATGGGGCTACGAATTGACTTGGACATTTTATGAGACGCTTCACGCGAAATCGTCGTAGCACTCAAAAGAAAGGGGATACAAAAAATCGTGTATGTAAATAAAAATACGAATTGCTTACGAAATTTTACGACATTTAGTTTTTGGAACTTTTTGTTTTTGCTTTTCATCTAAATTAAAAAAAAAATCATTAAATCTTATGGGAGAAACTTAACAATTCCTTTTCCGCCAGTTAGGATTCGGAAAGGGGTGAAAACATATTTATACATACACTCATATATATATTGCAGAGATACTTTTATATATGTTTGAAAGCTGAAAAAACTTGGGGTCTAGAAAAATGGACTTCAGCTGAGCTAAGTGTACATATGTATGTACATCAAAAGATAGCTCAAAATGTAGACAAATTAATCAAAGTCCCACAATTTTTTTTTTTTTTTTTTTTTTGCTTAAAACCTGTAGAAAAAGCACTGTAAATAATTTTTATTGCTTAATTCATATATTCATCAAATATTCTCTTAGTTTTTCTTGCGTTCAACATTAAAAAAAAAAACGAAACAAATATAAATACGTACACACACGCATGTAAACCTGCTTTCATTTATGTATAATATTTGTGCCTTCAAGTTTGGAGGCCAGCCCACTGTTCTGAAACATGTACATAGATTATATACTCGAATATGTACAAATGTTGCATACACACAAGCATGCGTTTTATTCTAAAATTCACGATATGAATATGTTTCGTCTATGCCAAATCTATACGCCCGCACATACTTTGATATTTAGCATGCTCATAATCGAGAAAACTAGTTCACAAATCTCCTTTTACATAGCAATTAAAATGTGTTGGCAAAAACAAAACCAATGCTACTGTTTGAGTTCGAGTAACTCGTTTACGACATTGTTTTGTTTGTCGTCATCATGATTCTACTTCAAAAATGCGAAACGCAAATAAAAATTGTGAGATATGTACGGAAGAATTTTATCAGCACTTAAGCATTGTGAAAAATGAGTAAAGAAATAAAATAAAAACGCGAGCACATATTAATTATTAGGATAAAAAAAATTAAAAAAATAAAATAAAAATAAAAATAAAAATAAAAATGAATCAAATAAGCTTACTATAAAACTAAAATAAAATAAATTGAAAACAAAATAAAACACACTAAATTAAAATAAGCATATTTTGCATAAAATAAATTAAATTAAATTAAAACAGAATATATTATAAATATCATATAAAAAGTTAAATTAAATTAAATTATATTAAATCAATACAAGATAATAAAATTAAATTAAACCAAAGTATATTAAATAATATATATATAAAAAAATAAACACAAGATAATGAAATAAATCAAATAATATAAAAATAAGAATAAAATGAAATAAATTGAAAACAAAAACGAAACAAAATATTAAAATAAAATAAATTAAAAACAAAAATTAAATAAGTTGAACACATAAACTAAATAAAATAAAGCACAAAAAAATTAAAATAATCATATTCACCATAAAATAAATTAAATTAATTATATAAAAAAAAATTGAAATTAAACTAATATACTATCTTCAAAATAATATGTTAAATAAAATATAAATATATAAAATAAAATAAATAAAAAATTAAATAAAAACATAAATAACATAGAATATTAAAAAAACTAAAAATAAAGTTAAAACAAAAAGTAAATAAATAAAAAAAGTAAATAAAATATAACGCAATTAATTAAAATAAGCATATTTACCATAAAACATAAAAATAAAATTAAATTATATTAAAATAAAAAAAATTATAAACATGAAAGTAAAAAAAAATTAATTAACAAATTAAATTAAAATTCTGTTTAAAATATACTAAATAAAATAAAATAAAAACAGAAACAAAATAACATATTAAAAAAAAAACTAAAATAAAAACAAAAACAAAAAAAAAAATAAAACATTAGAATAAAATAAATTTTAAAGAAAAATAAAATATTATAAATTTAAAACAAAAATAAAATTAAATAAAACATAATAAGCATATTTACCATAAAATAAATAAGATCAAATTAAATTATCTTAAAATAAAATAAATTGTATGTATAAAAGTAAAATAAATTAAATTAAATTAATTAAATAATAAACACAATAAATAAGATAAAATATAAATATAAGTAATAAAACAAAAACATAAATAATTTAAACAAATATTAATAAATTAAATAAAACAAAATTCACAAAATAAAAGAAAAATTAAATTATTTTATAAAATGCAAATTCAATTATATTTAACTAAAATAGAAAATAAAATAAATTACATAAAAGATAAAACAAAACAAAATAAATTAAAATTAAATAATAAAAAAATGAGAACAATTTAAAAAGAGATATGAAAAAAGAAAATGAAACAAAATAAAATATAGTAAAACAGAATAATAAAAAAACAGAAACCGAAAACTCAGTAAAATAATGCAATATAAAATAAAAAATAAAGACAATTGAAAAATAAATAATAAAATTATTAAAATATGTTTAAAGCAAAACTAAGAATTATATAAAGTTAAAAAAATTGTTTTGAATTAAAATAAAAAAATTATACAACATTAAATTTACAAAATAATTTAAATAGAATAAAAAATGCCATAAAATATTATTAATAATTGTATAAAATATAAATAAGATTAATAAATAAAATTGTATGAGTTCAAATTATATATATAGATAAAAAAGTATGCAATAAAATTAAACTAAAATTGATATAGATAAAAACCAACAAAAATAAAAACAAACAAAAAAACAAAACGGAAATACAATCCAAGGACATAACCTAAAACCCAACATTATTAGTAAATATACATATATTCGAATTTTAAATAAAGTCTTATAAAAAAATATATATAGAAATTTCGAAGTATGACTAGACCTGGAATTCATAGTTGCAGTGAAATTTTTTAAGTGGAAAGTTTTTAATATAAAATAAAAATTATTTCACTAAAAGTAAAAATTTTTTATTAAATGTTTTTTTTATAAAACATTATTATTCAGAAATAAAAACAAATCCAAAAATATTTTTTTATACAGAATTACAGGCCAAATAAAAAGAATAAAAAAAACATTGGTCTGCAATTGGGCAAATTGCATTTGGGCCATATTTTTGCGTTCCAAAACTGAAAAGCAAGCTCATTAGTTCAGATTACATACACATTTTAGACATAAACTATAACTGTCTACGTAATAAAAACTCATAAAACTATGAATTCAGGCAAGTAGATACGTATAAATATATGTATGCATGTATGTATGCACAAATATGCTTAGTAAATCTTTTGAAACACGAACAAGATTATTTGTTTTTATTAAAGTCATACTCATAAATTTTTATAGTCATATGGTCGTATGTATATGAATAGATGTTACATATGTATATATATGTATGTACGTATATTTGTAGAACTGTAAAAAAATAATAACATATCGAGATATAAATAAGAGCTCTAAACATCATTGCTGCTGCTCTCTGGCGATTTCCAAGCCCAAAGGCCAGTGTATCTATAAACAAACAACCAGCTGGCAAAGCAAAGCGTTGTGGGTTAGACGAAACGGGTAGGCGGTAGTATTCGAGGCAGCCAAGTCAATTGAGGCGCTATAGCGATGAGGTAATACGCTGGTTTTTATCCAATAAACAACATACAGACGTTCATAAGGCAAATATATTGTATTTTTGACTATATAAAAGAATTTTAGCTGAAAAATTTTGCTTTTACTTTTGCTAGTGGGTTGTCATTGATACACTTATGATTGTATTATTTATATTAATAAATTTTATCTGGTGTTATTGTATAATATTTTACGATCTATTTGTTAACAAGATACGTGTAATTCATTACACAAATTTCATTCACTTTCACGAATATAAATATTTTGCCCATAATTTAGTTTAGAAAACAAATCATGAAATTCTTAACTACACTTAGTAACTTAGCACACATACACACATTAAATGGGCGTTAAATATATTTCCCACACACACATTTTAGCCAATTCATAGCTATCACATGTTTCATATGTTTATGGTAAAAATTTATTCCCAATTACTAGATCATCAAAGATATCATAATTCGGTTCCAAAACACCATATGTTTTATTTCCACAAACACTAAATATCATTCGAATCAAATTTCCACATATGCACATATGTTGTGAATGTACATGTTATACATTCATATGTAAGTAAATATATAAACCAACTACACTTTGCTACCAGATTACAATTTGCGTACTCGTACCTTTTTAAACTCACAATAAACTGATACCATTAGCACACACAAAATGTTGAAATATCGAAAATTCTTATTTTATGCTTTAGTTATTTGTTTCTTATATATTTTTTCTTTTCTTTTTATTTCTTATTTGATCAAGCAGAAAATTTTCAAACTAATAATCGCGGCACGGTTTGCGTGTTGGAGCACTAGCTCACACCGATTCTTCAATTAGACTGTTTTCAGTAAGTGTAAAATCTATACGCGTCACCAGTATACACTGTAGGCGCATCGAGAGCTAGCGGCTAGCCAGAGAGTCAGTAAGAAACCACAAACATTTAATAATTATAAATAGCCTTAGTTAGCATTTATCAGCCTGTTGGAGACGCTTACTCATTGTGCTCATCGGTGCTCACAGAAGAGCGTCGCAAGTGGCACGTGAATATTTACAAAGAAAAGAGTTGATGATCTTACCGGCAAAATGTAGGGAGTAATGCAAACATATGTATTTATATATGAATGTATGTATACAGATATGGATGATGAAGTCGCCTTTGGCTGCGCGAGCGCGAATGACTAATTTAAGTATTTAATGGTAAATTGAAAAATTTGTACAGTAGCAAAATCGGAGGGCAGAAGAAGGAAGTGACACAAGTAATCATATATGGAGGTTTGTATACGTTTCTACGCATACTTGGTACTATTACTCACAGGAATTCCATTAACGGAGTGCCCTTTGTTGAGTTTATCGCCAGACGTTCATATTTAATGCCAGTCAATTGGCATTTTCTTATTTACTCAATTTACACACTTAAAGTGGTCCAACTGAAGTTAATAATTCGCAAGCATGATTGAGATGAAGGATGGAAGTTATGAACCTATATACCTACATTTTAAATTTGTTTAGCTCGTAACAAATTGAAATGATGTTTTGCTGCCTTTTGGATTATCACTGCTGAACTCAACTCCATAGAGCTCACATTACAAATGTACTGAAGTTGTTGCAATTTGGTAAATATTGGACTGGCATCGTCACCCCATATGACTTCTTAATAGCGCTTTAGGACTCATTTACGATTTGCAAAAACATTTTTGGAGAAAATATGTCTTAAAACAAGAATAAATAGTGCAGTATAATTGCTGTTCTACTCCTTTGAAAAGTAAACAAATTGGGATATAAAATACTAAATAAGATATTCAAATAGTTGATTTTTTCACTGAGCGTCACAAATTCATGACTGACTAAAGTAAATATATTATAAACCGTTCGTATGAATCTCGCTTATTTTCACTAAAGTTAGCATAAAAGCATGTAAAAAATAATAAAAACCATAAGTTAAAATCTGTCCCTATATCTTCATTGTTTCTCTAGCTTTGGATTGGACATAAAATTGCAAATTAGCACACAGAAACCAAATGATGACATACATAGCAGCAAGCAGCTGAATGAAAAGCGTTTGCTTTTAGCACAAAACCAGTACACAACACCTAAATAACTGCATCATTGAAAGCCCAAAACTTTAATTTATGTAAACTTACATGTATTTTTAAATATAACACATTTAAAATCACTTAAATAACATAAAATAAACACCTTTTCAGGATTTACTTTATTGCTGGAGAATAGAAAAAACACACATACGCCCATTTACAGAGATTGCGCTGATGTCAAATTGACAGCAAAATAGGATTGCCAAGTTAATGAAAGACAAAATGCAAAATGGCGCCATCTGTGTTTTCTCTTAGATAACTTTTATAGTTTTATTTCTTTATGCTACGATTAATTCAAATATTAGGAAAAATAAGTTTAGCCGGTCCTCCTTCCAATTAAAGACATCGTCGATAGTTTGGAAAAATACTTTTTACCATAAAAATTTTCATCGGATTGAAAGTTTAAGGCAACTCCCATACCAAATGAATATACCAAACAAGGCCAAAAAATTGACTATTATTAGCTGTAGTTGTCCCTCATAGCAAGTATGTACATATATAGTTGACACTTTATAACCACTGAAGCGATTTTCGTGCGAGTTCCTTACACAATTTTTGGTTTGAACTTATATTCCCCGAAAATAGAGAAACCCACTGTTTTTTATGCGTTTTAAAGATAGTCCTCGATGGTCTCCTCCTCTTCTTCCTCGCTACAGCTGCGACGGAAATCATTAGAGTAATAGTCCGTTCTTTTCCCGTGAAGCCCCATTAAATAAGGTTAATGGCAAACCGGTCCAGAAGGATAAGCAGTTTAGATTTCTTCGCGTCCAACTTCGGTCATAGCTGTCTGGTCACGTTGCACGTGATCTTGTTCAACTATCTTAAGTCTGCTTAAGTAAGCTTCCCTGGTAAAGGCCACTTTAAGCATGTACTTTACCGTGGACAGAAGTAGACCAGCACAGAGCTCCTGTTTTATCGTAGATAGAAGAGTTTCTTCCCTTGCTAGTTTGTCTGCCCAGCAATTGCTTGGGATGTCGCTGTGTCTATTTACCCAGACAACGGCAGCACTGCACTTCATTGGGAGTTTGTTAAGAAAGTTCCTACAATTTATGGCCGTTTTAGACGTGGTACCGTTACTTTGAAAAGATCTGATTGCTACCAGACTGTCGGAGTAAGTTGTAACCGAATATCCTGCTGCCGTTGATTTGTACAACCACTCCACGGCCTCGACGACTGCAAAGAGTTCCGCCTGGAAAACACTGCAGTGGACCGGTATTCTCATACGAAGTATAGATTACTAAGAATTCTTTTACCGAAAGATAAGTCCGATCACTTGGCTCTCTCTTGATCGATATCCTTACAAGCAAATCTTACTTGTCTGATACACACTAAATTTACCAGTCGTTCAGAGGAAACGAACAAAAAATATAGATTTCCCATTCGTTGGGTCGCATAAAAGTCCTTATATAGCTTGTCGTGTAAAATAGAAAGCCTCACATCAAGAGACTGATTGTATGCTATCTAAGCCTTTAGACCTTACTAGGTTTTGTGTTCTAAAAAGGGACTGTCCAATTTTTTTAAATATAAACGCAACACTTAGACCAGAAGATGACTCTTTATAGCGCGATATTTTTGTATAATGTAGATTGACACCTTGCGATTTTGAGAGCTAACTCGAGAAGCTTTCTTTAGTTTGCACAAAAAATAGACACGAGTGGTTCTCGTAGTGGAAGATTAGGTCAGCCGTGATCATCTCGCTTCGAACAAAGAAAATCAACAACAACAAAGACTAGTTCACTTATATTCCGACCACCACGTAAATGCTGATATTAATAATTTCGAAGTGTAGTAAATTTCGACAAAGAGTATTCAGGGCCATTTATATGCTAGAAGTGTGCATAGAAATCCAGCGGCTACGTTGATCATATTGCCCGGGAGAATGTGAAAACAGCTTGAATATCTTTCGATGCAGTACAGACTGCTAAGGCAAGCTTCTTCTGCCAGCAGAGCCTATACATGCCGTTATAACACCCCATCTAATCGAATCATAAGTGCTCCCTTGAGGCTACATCATATTAAAATGTGGTAGTTTTAACCAGTTTTTCTACTTGCTTTTATACAATTTTTAGCAATAAATCTTACTTCTCCTTCGCCCCTCTGCCCATCTGACAGTAATTTCAGTTGATTTTTTCACTCACCAACACATATGTGTGTGTATGCACTTCTACAAGCGACTGAAAATGGGTGGCCTTTTCCCACATATCATCATTCTAAGATGCCATTTGTAGTGTTTGTTTTCACATCCGCAGGAATCGCGTATTAAAGGAAATCTGAAATAAATGCATACATGAGCGAAATTTATGGGCGCAGGATTCAATTGCAAAGCTATACTATTAAGAGCGTGTAAGCGGAGCTGGTGAGTGTGGTGGTGCATGTGTCACAACATGGAAACTGAAACGAATCATCTTTCCGCTGTTGGAGTCAAAGTGCATTACTGAAGAGCGAACTATCATTATATGTACATACGTTTGTAAGTATGCATGTATACATGTGTGTGCAAGAGTTGTTGGTCATTTATGCCAGCGAAACTTACTTGGTCATATCATCCTCCCACTTGGCCGGATGTTGGACGCGCTTCCGACAAGCGGCATGGCAGTCAACTTGTCGATTTCTGTTCGGCACTTTCCAGTCGATTGGCGGAAGTGAACGACAGGCGTCCGATTGAGATTAATTCAATTTCACTCCATGCATATCCTTCGTCATCGCCCTCGGATTACTTATTCTCATACATACATATGTACATATGTGTGTGGAGATTCGCGCTATTGGTTTCTTAGTTTTTGGAAAATTTGTTAGGGGTTTCAAAACTTCTGGAGTTTTACTTGCTATCTGCTTGCAAGCAAGATATCATAAATTATGATATGCATACTGTTTTTTGCATGTACATATGTATGTACACTTATGTATATGTGTATATGCGGATGTGAATGAGCGATATTTCCCGCATATCGAAATAAAGTCATATGCGTGCACACATACATATGTAGATGTGTGAGTATGCAATGAAATAAGTGTGGTGAGAATTTGCAAAATAAAAATGCTGAACGGGAATATTTAATTTTTTTGTCCTTTTCACTTACAACAAAACAAGTTTGCAATGTGTGTCCCAGCAAACCAAAACCATAAAAGGAATTTTGAAGCAAAGTAAAATACGTAACTGCAAACGAATCTTTTGATTTTTGGAAAGATCGGAAAATAGTTGGTACAATAAGGATTGCCATACCACTGCGAAGAGAAAACCGGCTGCTGTCCTCACAACATTACGATCGACCACTACACGTGAGGGGTGGTATAGATACCGAGAATTGAAGAGAGAAGCATGCAAACAACGGAAAAAAGATAAAGTCCGCGATGTGTGAGTACGAGGAGCTTGGGAAGCTGGCCAACAAGCATAATGCTCGAAAATTCTACGAAAACACACGGTAACTTACAGAAGGTTTCAAGACCAGCGCAAACTCGTGAAGGAGCACAGAGATGTTATAGCGACTTTTGCCCAGAATATACTGAGTTTAACAAGGCAACCCATCTCTAGCTTTAAAAAGGAAACTCCTGGAAACACCCAATCGATGACGATAAAGCAGATGTTTCATTTTCCTGATTATGAAGAAGCTCGAAAAGCAATCGCTGACTTGAAAAAAGGAAGCGGTGCGACCCGAACTATTTTTATTATTGTTATTGTAGCTTCAAAGTATTCTACGTATTAGTTTTCGAGGAATATTGTGGGAG